TTTTCCCGGCAATATCCTCGCGCGATTCAAAAGCCGAGGTTAACCGCATTTAAAACGCGTAATTTCGGAGCGGGAGAGAGGATACGCGGGACACTCGTATTCCGCCGTGCATAACACTTTTGTACGCTGATATCGCGCGAATCTCACGCTACACGCCAGTTAGAAACCCGCTCGCGGCTTCCACGCACAGTGCGTATTGGCTCTCCCGCTATTCTTCATTACACGTCGGCGTCGCGGGGAATAACCATCGCCGTGTCATTAGGGAGCGAGAAAAGCGGATAATAAAGGAATGCGGCGAAGAATCGCGGCTTTCTTGACTCGCGTGCGCGCAACTTATTATCCTACCGTGTGTGCCCGATAGTATGCCGACGTGAACTTATTATTAGAGTGTGACGTTTCGCCGAAGCGAACCTGGACGCGCCGCTATACTAGGGCTCGCAACCGTTGCGGGGAAAAGAAACGTTCGGCTCGCGGAGCCCGGCCGGCTCGAGACGTCCCCCGAGTGCCACTTTTCGAACTCTCGGCAATCGGCGCGAGGACGAAAAAAGAAAAATTACCGAGGGTCCTTCTCTTCGGTCGGGTTGCTTTCGCGCGGCTCACTCTCGATTCTTCCTCCTCGGCGCGCGCGCGCGCTCGCTCGCTCGCGGGCTCCGCTTCCCGCAGAAATCGCTTGTAACCTTTGCCACTTGCAATTCGTGCGGCTAGACCAGTCCCACAGTCGCCCGCGTCTAGCACGCGGAGCGTACGCTCGGCCGGAGCTTTCTCCCGATCGGCTAACTTTTACTTTTGCCACAGGCAAATTGAGGATCTCGACGTGTCCGCGCTCTCGTACGTACGCCGCTCGCGCGTGACGCCGCCGCGAGAGAGACTTTGTTAGTATCGGACGGCGCGAAGGGGAGACGAGGTCGCGCGGGCCCGCGTGTGAAATTCGGTGGATCGGTGCCGGTTGCGCCACGCGCGGAACGATTGTTACGGAAAATTGGTAACGTTTAACGACGATTAAGGCGCTACTTTTGTTCCGGCCAATTCTGTTGTGGCGCTTATCGCGAACATGCTCGCGAATGCGGCCGTGTGAAGTGAAAATGCGACTTTAATCGTTTCCACGCGAGAAGCTCGCGCGGCGTGTTACTGAAGGACTCTTGTAATCGTGACGTAAAACTCGGGGCAAATATTTCAAGCCCGCGAGATCTCGAGAGAGAGAGAGGCGGTGGCGCGTTGCGTCAAATGTATCCGCAAAAACAGCCATCGCGTATTTATCTTTTCCAGAGTTTTCCAAGATATTCGATTGTATTTTTGCAACTGGATCATTGTTTTTGCACAGTCGAAAATAGAGTGGAGCGGTCGATTTTGTTGTAAATGTTGTGAATAAAATTTCGGGCGGACTCGACGGGACCACTCTTGAAAAAAAAAAAAATGTTGGCGAGCAAACGATTGCGGATATTCTCGTTGGATATTTCGCCCGCGTGCTCTTCAGCAGAACCCGGAGAAGGAGAAAAAAAAACGCGACAGCCCGCACGCAGGCGGTGCGAAATTAAAACTGGAACACGCGCGCTCGTTGAAACTGTCGCGCCGTATTGACGCGAAATCCCTATCGCGCGCGCCGGACATTAACATACGTGAAAGTGCAGCCGGTACGCGGATATACCTGTTGTGCGCTATTATTTTTCTATTTACAGTTCAGCCGGCGGTGCGAGCGCCGCGTACCATTTCAAAAGGGGAATAGATATGTCGTCAACGCGTAACAGGCACGAGCGTTTCAATTAAAATCGCGCGAGAAACGCGGACGCGACCGTGTTTCGCGTCTCGCTCCTTTCCGGACGGTTCTCCGTCGTGTCTATTGTCGTACCTTCGCGATTAATTTGTCGAGCGCCGTAACTAGACGGTTCGAAGGACGTCCGCGAGACGTCCTTAATTTTCTCCTTACCGGATGCCCCTCGGACGTGTCCCGGGAAATTTCTCGCGTTCTATCGATGTCTTTTAACACTCGAAACGCTCAACATCATTATTGACAATGATGCAGCCACTTTAATGTGCAAGCCGAAAAATCGCGAGTCCCGAAAAGTGAAAATTTTCGAAATCCGCAGTTCTGACGCGAGTTAATTTCCTTTGCCCCCGCGCGAATTCTATCGCGAATTCGCGGGCTCTTCGGGCGCAAGTCGGGAATTCTGTGTCCCGCGGGATATATATATAGACACGAGGGATTAAACGCGGATCGATCGGCGCGAGCGCAATCGAGATCGCGATTGGAAATCGTTTGCGCGCCATAAATCGATCGGGCTTCTTTCCCGTCGCGCGTTAAAGTGGATCTCCCCCTTCGTGGGTGCAACGACCTCTCGCGCCGGTCCCGTCTCGGCGTAACTCTCCTCTTAACGTAGATTCAGAAATATACAGGGTGTTTCCGGGCGTTTGCAGCAAACTTAAAGGGGCGATGGAACTCCAGAGATGGAACAATTTTTGTTAAGCAACCCGGCGATGCCTCCTTAAGGCGCTGGGCTGCGTTGAACATTTACGGAACATTCGCGTACCTTGATTTTCTCTCGTGGGGGGCGTATCAAAAGTTTAGTGCATACAACCCCCTGTTAATACCCGAAATGAGCTCATTGACAGGATTATGAACGCACGCGGTACGATTCGGAGTAATCCCGGAATTTTTCAGCGGGTGCGTCAGTCAATGCACCGTAGATGCAACGTTTGCATTGAGGTTGCAGGTCGCCATTTTGAACATTTATCGTAATAAAAGAAAATATAATTAGAAAACGTATAATTTTTAAAGTTTTAATCCAACCATATAGAAATTAAACAGCATATTCATCACAGCCTAGCGCCTTAAAGGGGCCTTAAGGAGGCATCGCCGGACACGGGTTGCTTAACAAAAATTGTCCCATTTATCGAGACCTGTCGTCCTTTTAAGCTTGTCGCAAATGTCCGGAAACACCCTGTGTGTGTGTATACATATATATACATATAAACGCGCACGACGATCGCGCACGGCCAGAGTGAATTGACCTGTATTTCCGAGCGGTAGCGGGCATCGAGACGAGCGTAACAATGTGTATGCGCGCGGCCGTTGAAATCGCCGCCGGTGGGAGGCCGCCGCCCCACCTTTCATTCGACTTTGACAGTTCCATTATGGTATCGAAGCTAACGGCAAACAGAACGGGCGTAGTTGACGATTGCGAATCAACGTGCTCGCCGGTCCGTCAAGGTATTTTTATTGTCTCCCCCCCCCCCCCGGATCTTTTTATATTTTTGTTGCCTCGCGCGCCGGAGCACGCGAGATGCCGATCGCGCTCGGCGTGGAAAGCGGACGCTGCGCGTGTCTCCCCGGGTGTCGCGGCTGCGAAATTGAATCGCGATAAACGCGAAAAGTGCATCCCTCGCGGCCGCGTCGATCTACCTCGAGTGGGAATCTCGTTCTGGATCGATTCGACTGGGCGCGTCGTTCGACCAGCCACGCGTTCTCGCCCTCTTGGATCAATTCGGCGAGCGCATCCGGTGGAGTTCCGCCATTGCCGTCGTCGGATTTATCTCATCAATCTCGTCTGCCGTTTGTCAACCGGCAGTCGTCGACGCGGGGTGCTCGAGACGAGTTTTCGCCGTGCACGAGAGAGAAAGAGAGAGAGAGAGGAGAGAGCAAAGTGGATCGCGTTAACGAGTCGCGCGACGAGAGTTATGCACCGCGCCGGCGGAGTTTCGGCGAGTTTCGCGTCGCAAAGGACTCAACCTCGCCGTGTGTGTCGCACCGTTAAAAACGGTGCGGTCTTGTGTGCGCGCAGGAGCCCTGTGCTCATTATTATTCGCCGTCTTTGACTTTTTCGTACGTGCGTCCCCGATACGAGCCGGCGTAAAGACGAACGACAAACGGTATCCCCGCCGGCGCCGCTCCGCATCGGTCATAAGCTAATTGCGCGCTGATTACGCGGAAATTTCGGCTCGCCTCGATTTTGCGAACCTCGTTACGCCGAATCCGACTTGGCGCGCGTCAAACAATGAGCGTTATTTATTCATGACGAACGATCGTGCGATTGTTCGCAAATGCCGTTGTGGAGGACGTTGCGCGCGCCCGCGGTAGAAACGACGTTTTCGAGTATCCGTCCTCGCGTTGTACGCATGCTGTTACAAAGTAAAATGAAATTCAATACGTGAACAAGACGTAACCGAAAAGAGCCGCCGCGATGTTCCGAAATTTATTAAAGGCGGTGTCGACCGCTGAGATTTGATCCTCGTTGAGGGTAGCTCGGGTTTCACTTCTGTTTGGATGTTCCAGGGGTTACTTGGTCCGCGCGTTTCGACAAAGTACCGCTCTCAGCACGAGTGAATTGTGAAGAAATACGAGATACGTGTGTAACATCGACACTAGTGTCGCGCGTCAAATATACGTAAAATAACGTGCAAATATACTTTCGTTGAGAGAGAGAGAGAGATCATTGATAAATACGTCGCACGTAGATATCGCACTGCGATGTACTTGCTGTTACGCATATTAAATCAAGCATCGTTAGAAAGTTTTAACGATTGCCCGTGAATCAACCGGAAAAGGCGGACGAGTGAAAACAGCACTGCTATTGATCGCTGCCGAGAGTAGCTCGGTAATAGTTAACCCAATTACTTAGTGTCAAGCGTCGAAACTCAAATCCAAATGAAATTCAAGGTGGTCTCCGTGCTCGGGAAGCAAATTTAGACGTTCCGGGAATTATTTACCTATTATATTAACGTGGACCGATTCCCCGATGTGTTTTGATAAATTATGAGCTCACTGACCTAAATTTCGGCGGCGATTATGACGACGTAACCGAGTAACTTGATTTTAACTCGTTATCGGCAGTTATCTGTTACGCAAGACTACGACTCTCCGCTTTTATTTGAACGCCCGTAGTGAGTTACAACAATTTCACGTGAAACGCAATACACAGGATATTACGTTAGCGCCGGAAATCTTTTCCTTAATTTGTGCCACAACCGACCGAGATATAACGGGTTTCTGCTTTAATCGGATTTAGGTCCGTCGGACACCGAGCGTATCTTCTCTAACGCGATTCCTTCTGCCAGTTAGCCAAAGAATACTGTGGTAATTCGCGAATGTTGTTTACGAATTGAATTGAATACGCGAGCGAGTGCGAGAAAACGATGGGCTCGTATCCCGGGACGGTGGACAACTCTCGTGACGAACAGTGATGATCGCGTACACGATGATCGAGCCACGCAGTGATAGGGTGACGGTCTGCTCACCTCAAACTCAGCACCAATGTTATCAAGTGATACGAACCACAAGGGTGCACCAAAGTTCGCGAAGCTCGAGGATGGTGACCGTTCAGGAGAGGGTCGTCAGGTCGCGTCTTCAGTTGGGTTACTCCACGCCGACGTCGTTCATCAATCGGTACCTATTTATTATTTCTATTTCACCGAAATCACTAACGGCCTGTCGAATTTCACCGATGGCCGTTATCGATTCCGTATTCGTTATTGAATCGGATACGTCTTATATTCTATTTAGTTTGCAACTTTTCTACCTACGTCACTGAACGCCAATCGTAAAAAGTATACTTGAAGAACTAATCTTCGAGTCATCTTAAATCCTTTTTTTTTCAAATGTAAACTGCAAAAGACTTGATTACGTGTAATTTACATTTTTCTTAAATATGGATGTAAGATGCTTCGAAATTATTGATCATATCTTCCGACGCTTTTGCACAATTTCTCCACGCGAAATCTACGAATTCATCTAATTTGTTAAGTGTATCGGGGAATCTACAGAAATGCAAATATGTGTGTGTGTAAACGGAAGGAAGCAGATGAATTGTATTGAAGAAAAGGAAACTGCATCAGAGCGATGCTAACATCCTACCGGCGCTATCTCGACGAGATTCGCACGAATGTAATTATCTTAGTGGAGGAAACGTAATCTCTCTAAAGCGGCATCATCTCCTCGCCTCTTCCTCTCTAACACACGGATAGAGTATCGCAGGCACACGCGCACACGAACGGCGGGCACGCACATGCTCGCGCCGGTAGAGAGCAAAATTATTTCAGGTAGAAGGCAGGATCGCTCGATGCTCGCGCAAGCGTGTGCGCGCCCGCGCACCCACGCCGGTAATGGCAATCAACGGTTGTTAATTGCTCGATGATAATTAGTCCACGGCGGCGCACGAGCAGCAATCGCCGCGCGAACAGCGCGGCTGCGATAATGGAGCACGCTTTAATAATTTCCGTAATGAATTCGAGACACCGTGTACATAGACTTTTTCTCCTTACGATACACCTCATAGCACACTTACCTGACCACCTGACTTCCTCGAGACGCCAGAAATGTTACGTGCCGAAAGTCGCGTCAGCGATCGGACACACACGACTAATGACGTACTGTACAATTTTATTTACGAGAGCGACGTAATTGAATTTTTTTTTACATTGTCTCTCGTCCTCTCGGATATACTCTTTTATTTTTCGCCTTTCTATATATTTCTTATGCCTTGTATCTATTTTTTTTACTTGTGTCCTGAAAATTATACCTGCAAAACGTCCCGTGAAAGGCATCGCGATATCGGAAAATACCTATTTCGTTTATATCCCGATGCCTCGTCAAGTCGTACGAATAGGATAGGAACTTGTCGAGACGATTTTTGCGTGAGTCTGCGCCGCGGGGTTTATTGGTATTACTTTAATAAAATGTGCCGTAACTGCGTGCCGTGAATAAACGACGTTAGGCGTAATTGACAGGAGCGATGGACACTTGCGCAAATCCTCTATACATCTGCATCTGCCGAGGCGTCGCGTAAGTAGAGTAAAGACGTCCTTAAACGCGCCTCTCTGGGTGCCTTTGTGGAAATGAGCTGTCAGCTGATTTCCACATCATAATTGATCGAGAGAGAGAGAGAGAGAGAGAGAGAGAGAGAGAGAATGCTCTTATCAAACTATCGTCTTACAATTAGTTCCAAAGCTCCGTGACTGAATAATTCATAATACAAAACATTTCGCTTTACACGCATATACACACACGCACATATACATATTGTATGAGAAGTGTGAAAATATCAAATAAAAATGTTTAGTATTATGAATTATTCAATCACGGAGGTTTGAAGCTAAGTGACAACAGTTTGATAAAAGATATCT